TGAACACGGTTAACTGCGGTGTTCGCCATGGAAATGTACTTGTGATTTCGCTGATCAACACGCGTTCAAAGATAAACATCTGATTCTGTATTTAAGGCACAAATCAAAAACTGTCCATGCCTCATTAACCTGGCGTACACATAACATTGTCCTGGTGAGCAGTAAGCAGACTAGCTTCTGTCACCTGATGGCTTTCGAATGCAGTCCAACTGCGAACGAAACCAGCCTGTTCTTGAACACTCAGACCTCACGTTGTGGGCAAACACCGAGCACAGATGATCAACTGAACAGAGAGGAGAAACGGTAGAGTTGATCATTTAAACAATCTCAACTCCATCATCTCTAGCAGCGACCACACTATTATTAGGGTTAAATATTAGATGTTTAAAATTAGGTTTATTTGAGTCAAGCCTCTGTCAGTTCACTGTTTTACGGCAGGACAACACTTGTCATAACGAAGGATCAAGAATGATGGGTTGAACTACGATAACAGCAGCGTTGGCTTTCATGCACAATGAGGGTTAAATAGAAGAAACGTAGGGAATAACTCTATTCTCTTTCGAGCACACGTAATCTCTGTAGATGTGGAGATCAAGTAAAAAAAGTTGGCTCTGATAGGAAAACTAGTGGAGCATTAACGATTTACACTACCCTACGAGTTTCTCGCATGGGAACCGAAATATGACAGGAGTCAACAGATGATTAACTAATTATGCAAAAGGATCAGAATGATGATCTCAACAAATCCAAACATAATCAACGAAATGCAGAAGCGATTGCCTTGACCACCTGAAAACGGCTTGGATGAGATGAGTATAGCGAGGTGCAATTATCGATAAAAACTATTTCCAGTGAAAGATATAATAGACAGGCAAACGGCCTTTACTGTCATACCAGCTTCTGTGCTGCAGTATCAAAACTGGGCAATATTAAGCTTTCGTTATCACAAGACGATGATGCATAAAATGTAAACAGTATAGACTTCTGGGACGAGAAATCCTGAGTAGAGGTATACGAAAAAACGTTTGTAATGTCACCATGGCGCAGAAAAGTAGATTCCTAGGAATAAACAAAAACGGGACTTGCAGCGGAACAGTACGTCAAGTTAAAAAACACAATCAATAACCTGCCAGAAGAAGAGACCAAAAAACGGTTGAAAATGGTAAAAGATAAGTGAAGAAATATAACATTTACCTACAGGAAATTTACAGCACAAATTATTACAGGATATAATCATTAAGACAACCATCGATACGTGTATTACAGCAGAGCCGATTATATCGAATGAGAACACAGTAATTCTGACTAATGGCCTATAAGCCTAATAAGCTTTTCTTCGCGCGTCTTTCAAGCAATGCAGTTTTCGATTATCAATTAGCAGGTACATATGATTAATTCTACTCTCGAATATATTTATGCACTCAAGGATTCTTTACATGAATTTCAAAACCGCACGCGAGTTCAGTTTCAAAAGTCTGCTATTCCGGTAAAGTTTAAAAAATATGCTAACAGCTTCCATTTATTCACGCAGAGTAAGTCTAGGAATATAGCGCATTGCTATTTATGAATTGCAATTGCAACAGCTTGTCGTCTGAGCCTGAGCGCACTGCTTGAGGACACTGACGACTTTCGCGCGTTATCTCAAAACGCAACATCCCCGTATCGCGGGATTTTATCCACTTTAGTACACCATCAATTCTGACAAATCATTACCGATGATCAATATTACGTCTCTGGCCAAGTTTTTTGCTGAGAACCGCAGCTACATCAGAAATTAGTTGTAAATGGCATTTTCATCTATCATTGGCAATTGTGCATACATTTTACTTCTTCATCTTCATCGCTACATTTTACTAAGTACACAAAAAATGGCAACAACTGCCTACACAGGATTTCATGGTCGTTATACCTAAGTAATAATCTCCCCGTACGAACGCTGACTGGTCGTTTTATGCGCCTGCGGATTCTTTATTCATCCTCGGGGTCCAATCCGCGTCGATCTGCTGTCTGTACTTCCGGCGCAAAGTGCACCTCTTTCTTAAGATGTGTAGAGAACTAGCGCTCTTTTTTTCGACCTGCGTTTTCGGTCCTTTGTAAATGGCGACCGTTCCCCCTGTGTTCGACCCACATTATCGATGCTTTGTTAAAGGCGATCACTCCATCCTTTGTTCAACCCACGTTTCAGATCCTTTGTGAGAGGCGAGAGCTTGCCCCTTTGCTCGGTTCACGTCTGAGGTGGGGTGCAAGGGGGCGTCCAAATTTCTCCGCTTCGTTATAGTCAGTCATCGCTTACCTTTGCAATATGCGTAGGGCACCAACATGAAGAACTATGACAAAAATGACTTATGCATTGAAGTATCATTCACTGTCAATGAATTTTTCGCTATCTGTACAGACACGCACATACACACAATTAAGTGTTTTGTATTGCCATACGTACACCGTGAGGGATAAATTACAATGTAACGTTGCGCAAAAACCAAAATTTTTTACACATGTCGGCATTTTCTTGGCGGCGTAGATTTCGCAGGAGTTTTAGGCCTGTCATGGTGTAAAACGGCTATCAATTCATTCCCTTTTGTCCTTCTGCACCAGAATTACGCGGTGAAAACAATCACTTAATTTGTCAACAACTTAAAAGAACTCCCTCCCTTTGAAGGAAACCTACGAAACAATAGCCATAATGTCGAGATCGTCTTATCACCGTACGTATCAATATTTGCAGATGTTTGATTTTGAACGTAAGGAGACTACACGTTTAACTGATGCTGCGATTAAACATAAAATTTTGCATCTACTCAATAGACGTTTAGATTGTAGTTTTGGGATTTCGTTACTCAATGCTAGGAATGTTCTACGAAATTAAACAATGCGAAGGAAGCTACGAATATATTGCGTTCTTTTGCAGGCAATATGTTAGGAAACTTTTCTTCAAAGAAGCTAAATTTGCGTACCAGCATAAAGAGCAGAACCTTCTATCAGGATGCTTGTGATAGCTGATGTTAAATTTGCAGTGAAAAAAGCGCCCGATTGCTATAAATCAGAATGATGAAATTTTGGCGCGTTATTAAGAACTGTGATCCCAATTTTCTGCTCTCATTCTACGACATTGTCGTAATACAAGCAAAGAAAAGCTGTCTTGATTGAATAGTGGGTTCACAAAATGGACAATTCATCAAGGGACCGTCTTACGTTACAGCCGGCAGAAAGTGGCTTGCAACCGTTCCGTTCACTTCATTGGCATTTCCGCGACGACAGGTACATATGGCCGAACATTCAGATGCCCTGTTTGTCTATTCAAACAAACTGGCCGAAGCAGCTGTGCTTTCTTTGTTCATTCCTGAAGACTATTACCGTCAATTCGATCGAAACGTCGGATTGACATAAATAATTTTCTCTGTTTCTGCTGCTACCAACCAGTCAATCAGAAGACGTATAAAGTCTGAGCTCTTAGTTGCGTCGTTTTTTTTCAATGAAATACTGTTTCGGAGAGTCATCTTTTTTAATTCGTTTTCAACATCGTCGATATTGTCAGTTGTTTCCCTGCTCAGCTCGCCCGGAACCGGATGAACGAAAGGTATATCTATCTAGCAATACAGAACGTAACCTTCACTACGTTTAAAGAAAGAAGCCGAACGTTTTTTGCATTGATATATTTGTTTCTGCTATGCCGATATCCTTTAAGTGAATAAATTTCCAAAGTGATTTTTGCCACCGCGAATATTCGCACTGTTTTCATGACATAATTACTTTAAAAATAGTCTCTTCTGCATGATTGATGCTCAGTATTTTGGAATATCATGTCATAACTGATTATCGTACTGAAACTGAAGGAGGGTAGATTTAAATTTTATGGAGTTAAACAATTTTTACTGTAATTTTGAATTTGGTGAAGGAGTAGTTAATGTACCTACTGATCTAACCGTACCCCTTTTCGAACTTCCGATTAGCTTAATAAATTGTTCGGTCTGCATTCGTCGCTTTAATACTTAGTGATGGTGTAAGCTCAACTTCTTTATTTCGTTGAAGCTGCACCTCTTTCGAATGTTGTACATGAACAGCTGAATTTAACGTCGACACCAGATCCGTGATGTTGGCGAACGGTGCGAAGGTGGGGGACGGCACGTGGTTGCTCACCGTTCTTGTGACGGATTTGAACATTAGCCGCAATTTCCGTGTTCGTGGTGATTATCACATTGGAGGTGTAATGCTGATGATAGTAGAAAATCTTGGTACGTGTTTTGCGTTGTTCTGATAACGTTTTTGTCTATCTTCTTGACGTATGATATTTTGATATCATGCAAGGTGTAAAGGTTTTGTAGGTAGGTCGAAGTTGATTTTTATGGTAATCATTTCAACGTATGAACTATCGACTTTTTCGTGACGAACAAAGTTGTTTGCGAGTCGGTTTTGCCGCTAGTTTTGTGCCATGAATCGCGTGTTTTTGTTGTTGTTTATTCGTATGGCAGACGAGCTTGCTTCGCTCACGTTAATGATGGCCATTCAGTGCTTCGTCATTGTCGAACAGCCGCATCGGTGATTCAGTGTGTGCTCGAAATAGCGGCGGACAACGACGACTTTTAGCGTGGCACAACACGCCCGTCGGCCGACCATACGTCACCGCTGCTGCTGCGGCTGAGGAGGACAGTGACGGTGTTATGTTCACTTCTCTCCTCCGTCTCTGTGT